AAGAAGGGTTTCCAGCTGTGACGAAAGCATCCAGGGACACCCAAACAAGAAGGAGGGAAAGGAAGGAAGGAGAAAAGAGAGAGGAAAAGAGGGGAAGAGGACAGGTGTTCCCAGTTACGAACAAGCGTCCAGGACACACCAGGGAGCAAGGGGTGAACCTGAGTGTTACATTTAGGAACACCCCAACAAGCGAAGGGGGAAGAGAGGGGGTGGGGGGAGGAAGGAGGACTGAGCTCTCGACAGGTTCCAATGAACCTTGAACAAACTTCGGCCGCTGCGGCCACGTACGGCTTGCGTGAAGGCTGCCACCTTTGACCGCTACGGTCACGTCAGGCATGAGCCAGCTTGGAATTCAATAATCCGTCAGGTCTTGGCAAGTTACTTTGGCGTAAGCCTCCCCGCTCTTTGCACGTACATCTCCGGGCAGGGGCCCTGGACTCTGGACTCTCACTAGGAGAGACACACTTATGATTTGGCGTACTGAACTGAATGCCACATGCCACAAGCCAGCCCAAGAAACCAAATCCTGAAAAGTCCAGGAGAACCCTATGGGAGCCTGGAGGTTTTCAAAAGGAGAAAGGGTCAAAAACTCAAGACCGGAAGCGATGAGCAGGCCGAGATGACGTGGTCTCATGTCTGGCAAGCTCATTAGTACTCTACTGGAAACTGGAGTCGAAGCATGTTCAAAAGTTCAAACAACAGGTGCGTGCAGATGATCAGGCTGCACATCCTGAGGTCACCATAGAGAGCTTCGTTGGGCACAGCTCTATGGGCCTCCTGTGCCCCACTGCTCAAAAACAACTCAAAAAGAATCCCTGTGACTACAAGGGGCACACACAGAGTTGTTCTCTGGTTTCAACATGTTGATCGATTTTGCCGAATGATGACTTCTTCCTTTTGGTATCACAAATTTGGTTTTGTCTTCACTTTAACCAGTAGTTCTCGTCTAAACGCAGCCCTGTGCAATAAGATGCTAATGCGTTTATTGATCTCTATCCCAGGCACGACTTCGGCTCAAAACATCTCCAATGGCCGAAAACCGCTAATCCATGCATGGCTACAGGATTGGTAGTGTGTCACTGTGTCATGTACATCATCAAAGAATTGCAACTTAAGCACCCACATCCAGAAACATATCACGTATTTCAATGCAAGATTCAAAACACACGCTCTTTACAACAGCGTCGACCAAACAGCAGCCTTCTTGTGGGAAAGTAAATGCTTGAACAGAAACCCAATTGAACATTTTTAAAGCATGCGACAAACTTGCAATATCATCAGGATCTTGGTTGCAAGATGAGGTGATGGCTGCACTGTTTTTGTAGGTTTGTTGATTTGTTGACCCTTCTTTGCACATTGAGTGTCGATAATGTCACCTAGTGCTGCAAAGTTCAGTACTTTTGGAAGATTGGTTTGAGCAGCAAATCATTAGCACCGTTGGCCAGGTGATGGCAACACGAGGTTATGCTTTATTGCTCCCTTCACGAGTTGGAGAGCTGAAAACCGAGCTTCCGCCTCAAGGCTCCTTGAGAAACGAGTGATGCGAAAGACAATGAAGCAAAGAACCCGCCTGCAATGTCTGGGATGTTGCAGGTGGCAGCAAAGGCACGTCAGTGACGCTTCACGTTTACAGCGTGTCTGCAAGTCAGACGGTTCGCAAGGTTGGAGCCTTGAACACAATGAACATTCCCAGTAATGGTTTGCAAAGTGCTGATTTATGTGGATCCCCTCCTGGCCGCTCGAGGTGAACCGTTTCCTGGGCCACCTTAGCACGGGTGCTTTTCATACGGCTGTGGAAGTTCATGGCAAGGAACGTCACGTCTGGTCGTCAGTCGTATTTTTGGTTCTGTCAACAAAGGGTTGCAGGCTCACGTCCTTGCTTTGCTTTCTGTTTGCTTTCTTTGCATGACTTCTTGACCAAGGCTTAAAGTCTTAAAGTGCAATTTCTTTGTTTTGAGGAGTGGAGCTATGGCTTTGCCGAGAAAGGTAGCGGAGTTTTTTGCTGCAATCCCAAAGAATCTTCTCTTGCAAACAGAGATATGTGGCTGTGTTCTGTTGGCTGTCAATATTGTTACCCCAGGTTGCTTTGTTGGTTATGGATGGGCAAGATAGCATGCCACATAACATCCTACTGCTAAATCAACACGAGTACAAAGCTTGATGGTTGCACCTCAGGAATGTGGGGCTCATATTTATCTTTACTCTCTGCCCATGGGTTCAACATTTTTGTCTCAGCAGACTGTCCTTGCCTTGATTGGGCGGCTTTTTGGCTGAATCTGAGAGACCTTGCTCGAATATGGCGCCAAATAGTTTCAGGTGTCCAGATCGACTTGATTTGCACATGAATTGTTGGTGAAGCAGAATGCCCTGCTTTGCGGGGCTATTATAGGGCTATACTTGTCAGGTTGGCAAAGGAGTGGCAAGGGGATGACTATGACATTCTGCGTTGCAACTGTTGCCACTTCAGCAACGAATTGCTCAGGTGCAAAGACTGTGTTTTTTTGGTTTAAAATGAACTGTTAAGCCAGAGAAGCCTCATGTTCTTCTTTTGTGCATGTCACTCTTAGACGCTTGGGGCTGGGACCCTTGCCGAAGCAGTTCACCAACCTTGCGGGCACAGGTCCGACTTTAAATTGTGACACAATTTTCTTGATTTTGTTCCTCTACTTTTGTCAAGGACGCTACTAGGAGCTCCTGGTCTTACTACTAACTAGTAACAAAGGGCATCGCTACCAGGAGCAAGGATGCTACAGTACTAGAAGCTTCCTGGCCTTATTAGTAGTAACAAAGGGCATCGCTACTAGGAGCAAGGATGCTACTAGAAGCTTCCTGGCCTTATTAGTAGTAACAAAGGGCATCGCTACTAGGAGCAAGGATGCTACTAGGAGCTCCTGGCCTTACTACTAGTAACAAAGGGCATCGCTACTAGGAGCAAGGATGCTACTAGGAGCTCCTGGCCTTACTACTAGTAACAAAGGGCATCGCTACTAGGAGCAAGGATGCTACTAGGAGCTCCTGGCCTTACTACTAGTAACAAAGGGCATCGCTACTAGGAGCAAGGATGCTACTAGGAGCTCCTGGCCTTACTACTAGTAACAAAGGGCATCGCTACTAGGAGCAAGGATGCTACTAGGAGCTCCTGGCCTTACTACTAGTAACAAAGGGCATCGCTACTAGGAGCAAGGATGCTACTAGGAGCTCCTGGCCTTACTACTAGTAACAAAGGGCATCGCTACTAGGAGCAAGGATGCTACTAGGAGCTCCTGGCCTTACTACTAGTAACAAAGGGCATCGCTACTAGGAGCAAGGATGCTACTAGGAGCTCCTGGCCTTACTACTAGTAACAAAGGGCATCGCTACTAGGAGCAAGGATGCTACTAGGAGCTCCTGGCCTTACTACTAGTAACAAAGGGCATCGCTACTAGGAGCAAGGATGCTACTAGGAGCTCCTGGCCTTACTACTAGTAACAAAGGGCATCGCTACTAGGAGCAAGGATGCTACTAGGAGCTCCTGGCCTTACTACTAGTAACAAAGGGCATCGCTACTAGGAGCAAGGATGCTACTAGGAGCTCCTGGCCTTACTACTAGTAACAAAGGGCATCGCTACTAGGAGCAAGGATGCTACTAGGAGCTCCTGGCCTTACTACTAGTAACAAAGGGCATCGCTACTAGGAGCAAGGATGCTACTAGGAGCTCCTGGTCATACTACTAGTAACAAAGGGCATCGCTACTAGGAGCAAGGATGCTACTAGGAGCTGCTGGCCTTACTACTAGTAACAAAGGGCATCGCTACTAGGAGCAAAGACTCTACAAGAAGCTCCTGGCCATACTACTAGTAACAAAGGGCATCGCTACTAGGAGCAAAGACGCTACA